AGGTCCCTTCCAACCCTTACGATTCTGTGATTCTGTGTGATTCTGTGACACAGTAACGAAAAAATGAAATGTGGGAAACGAATGAGCGCAAAAGACGGGAGTTTCGGAGCGCTTGGAGGGTAGGGTGTAAGAACCTCCACGCAAGCAGACGGCTCGCGCTGGGCGCGTTAATAAAGCCCCGCGCTGTCAAGTCTCACACTGAAGTGGCGGGTGGCGACTCGCGGCGTGCCTGTTGCAGCGCCGGCTGTTTCCCCGGGTGTCGTCTCCAGCTTTTTCCCTGCAAGCATTTTCACCTCAACCATGCTGTGTGGCTGCTGCCTCTCAGGGCTGGCTGCAAAGCGTCCCCTTTTGCTAGCCAGCACTGGCGTCAGTGAGCAGAACAAAAATGAGGGATTTGAACACTGTGATTCTTATTAAAAATAGGATTTAAAAATATCCACTCAAAGACCAAATGCAGCACTGAGTATATCGAATTGCCTGATGAGTTGCTTGCAGTAGACTGTTACAGAAGTGTGTGTCGACAGGGCAAATGGTTCACTTAGGGTTCACTTAATCCTAGGCATTGAAATATAATTCACCTTCTGTGAGCTTTTTGTATTGCCCATTTCTCCCCCTCAAAACAGCATGTCCCTGGGTGGTGATGGATGGGTTTGCACCCTGCGCTCACATAGTTTGCACAGCATACTCTACGTGAAGTGAACATAATAAATTCACACTGATATTTGAAAAAGCCCGGAAATAAAAGTGTAGTCGTAGGCATCGGTGTGCTCCAGTCACCTGTGGGCTTTTAACAGGCTACATTTCTGATTTGCAATTGTCCCTTTACATTTATTGTCACTGCTCACAGTTTTATATTCTTCGTGAAACGACAAAAAAGTTACCGATGTGGAAGTCTTCCCCATGCTGGCGTGTCCTGGTGATGGAGCCTTGGTGGCTTGTAGCTATTTCCTCTATAAATGTAATCACAAGCATGCAGAGCCGTCCTGACAGGCATTTAGAGTTAATCTGCTGTATAATGTAAGTCTTCTAAACCCATTTGCTGTTGTAGCTCTCTTGAAGCTTTTCAGTGACGTTAAACTGGCGGTGGATTTTTCACTGGAGTTCAGAGCCACCTCGCGGCCTCCCCGCCGGCATGGATGCCCGCCTGCCTTACGGCTCCAGGGCTGGGAAGCTCCACCTCTGGGATGGCAGCAGGAAAAGCTCCGGGTGCTTTGGAGAGATCGTGAGATGTGCTGCTTAAACATGCTTTTGAATCCGTTTTTATTTGACTTTCGGGTGGCACGAAGAATCATGCCTGGATATTTGGGGTTGTCTTTTCATGAGCAAAACACTTCATTAAATAGAAAAAAGAATCATCCGAATGAGCAATTGCGCTGATCACCTGTGCCATGAAAGGTAGGGAAGTGTGCACAGCTTATTCGTTCCAAAACACACGGCTCTGTTGTTCACCCAGAGGGCTGCTAGCAATTACCCGTGTGCCTCGGCGCAGAGAAAGCAAACTAAGTGGCCCACATCCCTACTTTTTAACTCTGTTAGACCTCAGAGTGGGGTGGCCTTATCCAAACTGTCTGCTGGTGCCAACTTCCAAACTATGGTAAGGAAATACTCTGCAAAGGTCCGACTAACCCAAGTCAAACCCAGAGCAGGGGGTTGTTTTCTAATTGAACAGCGCAGAGTTCCAGCACCCACTTATGGTCTGAGCCATAACTGCTTAATTTTCTAGTGAAGTCTTGCATCTGCAGTCTTCCACACAGTTACGCTGAAGCCAAAGGGCCTGATGTTTCAGCTCTCGCCTTGCAAGAAAGACCGCAGCAAAGTCTATGTAATTCCTTGGCCTAGGGTTGCAAATGTTTGGGTTTGGTTTTTTTTCAGAGGCCTGTGACTCGGTTATGCTGAGATCACTCTCATCTCGCTGTCCTAGGGTAAATTCCAGCGGTGGACTCTAGAGGGAACATCTAAGTCACTGTGCTTCTCACACATTTATACTTAAACGTATAATACCTGAGACTTGATCATGGGCTGGATCTCAGACTTAATGTAAATTTGCTACCTGCCACCTTTCTCCTGTAGTGGATTAAGGCCATAAATATCAGTGCACTATGTGGTATCTGCCCTGAGATGCCTGAGTGGAAGTGAAGAGGCCCTTAATTTGTATTAGCTTTTCAGTTACATGTATTTGCTTCTCTTCTCTGGAGCATTCTTTCTTCAGCCCGTAAATAAGAGCATGAAGTGAGCCAGTTTCAAGAACAGTGGAAATCAGGAGCAGAGTTGTACACAGGAATCCTTTTTTTTCTTCTTGCTTGGATCGATGCATCAGGGAAAATGGGAATCTGACCAGCATCGCAGCGCTGTGAGTGCAGCAGTGCTGTCCATGAGCATGGTGGATAATGATCTGTGGAAGTGCTTAGGCTTCCTTCTCGGGGTGGTGGCTGAGAAGAAAACCTGGAAGGAAAATAATGAAAAGAGGCTCTGGGATGAGGTGGCTTTTCCCTCTCCTTAGGGAATTTTGTGCAGGACCAATTCTGTATTCAAGCATGGTCGTGGTCTGGAAGGCACTAGGGACTGTAGCCAGCTCACATATTTTCGGGCTGAATTCAAACTTTATGTTGTAATTTATGCATGTATGTTTAATTTTCTGATCAAATTTGCGTGATATGCTAAACTATACTTCTTTGAGCAAGCTGAAACTTCACTTCCAGTAATCCCTAAATGTGCACTCTCTAAGCAGAGCATTAGTTCTGCTGCACCACATACATCTCTATGATTGATGAAGAAAGTATGAAGTAGGAGAAAGAAGACACCACTTCTTTGCTTTCATTGCTTGTGCTGGTGGTTTTGAGATTAAAGCTCAGCCTTTTTTACTTGGTTTAATCCAATTGGCATGTTTTGTTGCTGAGAAGACAATTCCAGTCAATTACTGGAGATTGCTTCCAGATTATATACCCCTCCTGCTCTTTTTGCTAAACAGATTTTCTAAAGGGTATGCCTGTAACTCAGATAATTTGTGTTCGAGCATAAATCTGTACCGAAAGCGTGAAAGCTCGGTGGGGAAGGTAATCTTTCTCCTTTTTGTCAATAAGTAGGCAAGTAAGTGCGTTGCCTGCTGTGGTATAACATGCTGAGGGAGCCGTATGTGCCAGTAATGGCATACCGAGTCCTGCACGCTGGCTTGTACTGTAATGCTAGCAACAAGCATCCCGCAGTCCTCATGCAGGCAAAGCTGCTCAGTGAGGAAGG